ATTTTAGGCAAAACAGCTAATTCGTGCACCTTTTCTATACTAATAAATTATCTCCTAATACTATTATGGTCATCAATGGTTTCTGTGATATTGTACTAAGATATCGGACCATATACAGTTCTTTAAAATAACAAAAACAAAGAATGATAAATTCTCGAGGCAAAATTGAGAATGCAATACTTACAGATCACAAATTTTGGGGCAAGCATAAATTGGAGCGATATGGTTATCACAGTAACTATTACAGTCTATCGAAGTTCCACGCAATACTTTGCACAAGATGGCGACAGCTTCACGTACTGAAACAGATAAAAAAAATCAAAATATTATTACTTGAAATATTCCTTCAATAAATAGAAGTCTTAGAGTTCCAGTTGTTTCCTCCAAACAGAAACCTTCTCCCACATCACTATAAATAAAACATATTTGTTTCAATTCAATCACTATTTATCGTCGGAAAGAATACATATAAAAGGGGATTATTGTGCCGATAAGCAAAATGATTTGTTTGCTCATAAAAGAAAAAATGTTTCATGAAACTTTTGTCCTGTATCTTTAGCCTGGCACTTTTCTAAGGAAACAACATTTCGTTGCAGTAAATTTACAAAACAATTAGACGATGAAGACATTAAATAATATTATATGAAAATTCGCTTTTCGATATTTTATTTTCAAAATCAGTTGTTACAAATTGTTAGAAAGTTATTTATTTGAATATTAATTAAATGATTTTAAGTTCGTTTTCAACAATATAAACACAAAATATGAGCTGAAAAAATTTTTGAATAATTCCCAAAACCAATTTCTTAACACTATTTAACAGCGGAAAGTTCTTGGCATTTTTCGAAATGGTCAGAATATTAAATAATATGAGACTGAATTCGCCATTGATTAGACGATATAAATATGTGTCAGGCTACAGACTTATTTATTCACGCTATCATACATTACATAAAGATTAGATTAAGTCCAATAGAAAATCACCCGCAAATGGCCATCTCCTTAAATTAATAATAGATTTTTGTCTTTTCTATAAATATTTTTATGGTGTCATGGCATGACATCTACTCTGATGAGCTATTTTCACTTTTTGTTCCGACTACATTAATTTAAACAAGCTACTAGGTTGACTTCTCGTTTATTTTTAAAACAGTTAAATGGAAGCGCCTCTTCTAAAGTAACAGCCTCTTCACTCGTACTTCCCAACAGTGAAACTCCCTTCCTCTTACTTGCTTCCCTGATAACCATAATCTAATTTACTGCACATTCCCTCTCGTCATTGCTTACACGTTATGAAACTTAATGGCGTCGCAGAATTTTATTTTTTTCGACCAGACGCAAATTATCATAAGTGTGGATAACATTGGCGCAAGAGATTCTTCTCCTAGATTATACGTCCCGAAAATATATTTTTCATTTTAATCTGCAACTTTTTAACTATTTCATATCACTGGTGAGTAATAGAGACGTAGATCTAAAATTTTTACAATCAGAATTTCAAAAGTCGGCTAACCACTACGTGTCAGGCTACAGACATATATGACATCCAAAATTAATGAAATATAGAACAACTGGAAGTGTTCATCTCCCGAAATTAAACTGAGGTTTTAATCTAATCGTTTAGTAATTTTAAAAAGCATTCTCTTTGAATGCTTTAACATACAGCGGTAAAGAATTTTGATTACTGTTGATTCCACCTAATTTGAAGTGCGTAAATTTAACGAAGAAACAATGAATCAAGACACCAGAGACTCTGCTAAAAGTAACACATTCTCCAGAACGGTCTTCCCAAGAATAAATGACTATATGTAAATTTCGGCTTTCTTGTTTCAATACATTTTGTTCTAAGACATTTTGTGTTGTATTATTATTCCATGATTATCAAGTTTCCAATTACGAAAACGAAAGATTTAACTAAGCCACACTTTGGAGATAAGAATAAATGGTCTTTCGGCTCAGCTGAAAGATGAAAAGAGTCAAAGATGAAAACAAGCTCATGTCTGTAGAATGGCAAGAAAAACTTTTTAATGAAACTTATTCATTAATAATAGATATATATGAGCAGAATGAGATAGATAGATAGATAGATAGATAGATAGATAGATAGATAGATAATCATCAGACTAGATAGATGAATTCTGATAGATAAATCGATAATTAAGAATTAATAGGCTGTCATTTCTACTTAAATACTTTCGAACAAATACAAATAATCATCACAAACTAAGATAGATGAATTCATCACGTTGATACATTTGACTCAATGTCAAATCGATTTTTCAATTATGGATTAATTTGTTATCTGCCTGTCATTTCAACAGTAAATACATTCTCTTTCACTGCGATACAAATGTTGGCGAACACAGTTGATAATTAGATGGACCCAAATCAGGAGAATAGGGAGGGTGGTCAACGAATTCCAAGACAAAGTCACGTACAAAGCCATAGACACTACGAACTTGTGTGCAGGAGCATTGTTCTAATGAAACAAGATCCCTTTTGTCAAATCTTGACCAACATCCTGGGATTAGACCCTTTTAAAGAAATCAATAACAATGCCTTTTGCAACCCTAAAACTCAGAGATGAAACGACTTGACGAATAAATGGATAATCTCTTTCTTCCTGTTTTTTAGGGAAAATAACTAACTAGATCGATGTCTGGTTTTCCCATGATATGACCAGCCTCAGATGTCCGAAGACGTGGCACCCACCGAGCAGAAACCTTCGTCATGCCAAGTTCATTGTGCACAATATTCTCAACTCTCTCATGGCATAATCTAATAGCATTAGCTATTTGATATATAGTCAATCACTTATCATGTTATCAAAACGATCAATGTTTTTCTTGCTGGTTGCCGTTGCTGGACATCCAGATATTCCGTCATAATATATATATGTCTATATTCAGCTACCTAATTTTGCACTGTCGATAAATCTGGACACTGAACTCCACTCTAAAATGCAACAAATAAAACGTCAATGTTTTTCTTGCTGGTTCTTGGGACATCCAAACCATTTTATCTATTCAGAAGGTCGAAAATTGATAATATGATGATGTTCACCATTTTGAAGGAAGTCATTTTTGTCATTTTCAAGAGAAGTCGCTATTAATCACTTTTGAAGTCTCCTTTCAACAGTCAGATGTGAGCTTAAAAGTAAGTACCGAGCTCCTCCAGCTATATTATACCTTTACAAGAGCCAAATCAGGCCAAATATGGAGTACTGTGTTCATATCTGGACAGGAGCTGCCAAGACATCACTCTCCAGGCTTGATAGAGTTCAAAAGCGCCTCCGAGCCCTTGTGGGTGACGAATTATTCTACACCATTCCACATCTTTCCAACAGACGGGATGTGACCACCCTCTCGTTGCTCTACTGCTACTTCCATGGAAAGTGCTTGGAGAAACTACATTCCCTAGTCCCGACCAAGGCAAACCTACATGGTAAGAACACGCAAATCACCCATATTCCCTCCATACTCCAACGGTGCGAAGTGAGTTCCACTAGAAGCCGTTTCTTCACGCGAATGACTGTCTTTTGAAATCGACTCGCAGGATGTTTTCCAGATCACGACAATCTTAATCTATTCAAGCCTAGGTTTAATAGTTATCTCCATCAACGATACACACACAAGCCCTCCTAACGTAACACTCTCCCTCGAATAGCCCACGAGCCTTGTAAAGGGCGAATCTCAATTTTTTAAAAAGATAAAATTATTGATATGAAGTGTTGAAATTAATGCATGCAACACTTGTAAGTGACAATTATCAGCGGCCATAATTTTGGTCATCACCGTTGACATGCGACATGAAAACCAACTCAGAAAATATCATACTACATGTTTATACATATATATGTGTGGGTGACTGAAAATATCGCTGATAAAAATGTTTGGGGATAGATAGTGTATATTTATACATATATCCGTCTGTATGTGTGTGTGTGTGTGTGTGTGTGTGTGTGTGTGTGTGTGTGTGTGTGTGATATATCTATCGTTTCTGGCATCATTAGAAAATACCTACCTCTACAAACGACTGAAAATATCGCGGATAAAAACGTTTGTGGATAGACAGAAAAAATAATGATGAATGCGATGTGGTGAGCGAACTTCTGTATTTTCGTTTTTTTCGTATATTGCAAGGATGTTGATGTATTATAAAAATGAAATAAGTTTTTGATATATTAAATTATAGTTTGTTTTTTTTGACACAACGAAAAATGTAAGAAAGAAATGGAAATAAATATTCTAGACTTTTGGTTGTCTTACCTGATGATGTTCTGCGTCAAATCAGAGGAATTGAAGTCACTTTGTCGTATTCTCAGATATATAATAAAATTCTGCAATGTGATTGGCCAATCTTTCACCAATCAGATCGAGGGAGTGAATCTTTAATCTTAACTTTTAATCTCTTCCGGGTAGAGATTAACAGATGGTTTTTTTTTATTTTTCTCTTAATTTTTTAAAATTTCATTTTCTGCAATTATACTTTAAAGTTGCGTTCAAAATGATTATCTATCAAGTGCATGTGAAAGTTTCCAAAGACAAAAACAACCCCGGTCTTTAAATGGGTATTCAGTCTGTAGTTTGCAAAGAAACGTATTGAAAATTTGAATAGTAGATATATATATATATATATATATATATATATATATATATATATATATATATATATATATATATGTATATGCATGTAAATATATATATGTAAATATTTCAAACATCAAAATATTGTCTTCTTTTGACAGTTTTTCACAAAATACAAGGTTCAAGCAACACTCAATCTATAGTGTTATTCAATGAGGTTGTTGAACTTCTTGGTACGGAAACGTCATGGCTGAGCGGGGTCGCGCACCCAAAGACAAACTCGGTCGTTTCGGAAAACTAAAGTACCCGTGACGAGTAGAGACAGATGTGATGTTTGCCATTATTGCCCTCCCACTTTCTATTTCTCTTTATGTCTTTCTATTTCAATCTCTTGATCTATCTATCTATGCATTGTTAATAGATAGATAGATAGATAGATAGATAGATAGATAGCAATGAATTGTTTATTCCGGGATATCTTCATCGTTATCGAAAAGATTCCAGCATTCACTTGCATGGACATGGTGTTTACATCCAGGATAATCTTCACATGTCCAGGGAATTGTCTCTCGAGGTCGCTGACTACTCTTTCATTTGCTTCCGTCTTTCGCTGTTAAACTCTGTCGGGACTGAAGTATGTTAAACGCAATAGCTGACAGTATAGAAAAGGCACATTCTACCCATCCATTAAACAAAGACCTCTTATCAATAAGACCACTTTTCGTTTCCAGCTTGCTGATTGCGACTCATTCCGTTATTTTCTTTGTGATGCCCCTTGTACTGACGTCTTCATCTTCATAATTGAAAATTGCGTCATTGAGGTTTCTTCTTCAAAGCCGACATATACGCTTTCATGCCTTCTATTTCGCAGGAGATAATGTTGAAACTTAGGTAAATATATTACTTTTTTTTAACATAGCTAGTCCTGGAAATATTTGATACCACTTTGTATTTGGTAACTTAAAACATCTTTGGTGATTTTTTTAAATTGAAATATGGCTGTTGGTGTTGACACATAATGCGTGGTGTTATGAATAAAGTAAAAAGTAAAGACAATAATCACATTTATAGAAATTTTATTCAACAATCAATTACAGGTAATTATCGATCATCTCCTCGGTATAGTAGATTGATTTTATGCTGGTCACCCATTACTGTAGCTGTAAAAGAAGAATGTTATAACATTTGAATTAAATCCATTCACGCTAAACATTAAACATTTTATCATGAATAAATAAAATTAAAGTCAAAAGTGAATTTATTTTCATTGTACACAGCAAAATTTATATTACAAGATTTCTTCATAATAGACGTTGTTAAGGATTCTGTCAGGAAAATAATGAACTGCTCAAATCTCTCAACCTTCAAGTGAAGGACATGAATGTCGACAAATCGATAATAACAAAGAATACTCGAAAATGTTAAATAATCATTCCTTTTGACGTGTGAATTTGATGTTTTTGTAAAGTGTAAAAATTAAGTATCGGAAAACTTATTGACGTGACACTGAGATATATGGAGCTGAGTCAGAGGAAGAATAAATGGCAACTTTCGGCTCAACTGAGTCGATATCGGTAGCCAGTGCCAAGGAGATAAGAGTCGCAAAGATGAAAACAAGCTTCATGTCTGTAGAATTGCAAGGAAAAGTTTTTAATAAGAACTTATTCATTAATAATAGATATATATAAGCAGAATGAGATAGATAGATAGATAGATAGATAGATAGATAGATAGATAGATAGATAGATAGATAGATAATCATCACACTAAGATAGATGAATTCTGTGATACAGACTCAATGTCAAATCGATAATTATGGATTAATATGCTGTCATTTCTACTTAAATACATTCGAACAAATACAAACACACCAATGTGTACATACACTCAAACACTCACAGGAGTATAGGTGTATAAGATATCGTTCATCACATTCTACGAGTTTTTTTTTTTTGACGGATTTAATTCACGTACCCATAGCTTCCGTCACATGAATATACACGAGAGTCGGCTGAAAAGTTCACTGACAGACCAAGGTAAAAATGTAACCCAATGAGGTTTCATTTTCAGCATAATCCATATACTTCTTCCATCGGTGTTGCAATGCTTAGATCCCATTCGTGAAGAATCTGTTATCCTGTTGGTCAAAAACATCGCCAACAGCAGATGTAAAACCATCTCTTTCACTGTGATAGTTGTTTCTAGCCATGAGTTTTTATGTTAGCGAAGAACATTTAATAGTTAGGTGAACCCAAATCAGGAGAATAGACAAAGACAAAATCACGTACAGCAGCCATAGACACTAAGGAAATGTGTGCAGGAGTGTTGTTCTGATGAAACAAGATCCTTTTCGTCGGTTTCCCTGAGCCTTTGATCTTGCCTTTCGTAACTATCTCAGCAATTTGGCATTGTACTCTCTATTAATGCTATGGCTCTTTTGAAGATAATCAGTAAACACAATGCCTTTTGCGACCCCAAAGACTGAGACCATCATCTTCCCTGCAGATGAAACGTCATTGATCTTCTTTGAAGCAGGTGACGAGCGTTTTTCCACTGCATGGATTCTCTTTCTCTGTGATTAAACCCATCCTGGATTAGGGAAAGTTCAAGGTAGCCAACTGTCTCGACTTCAAATAATGTCAGGTTTTCCCATGATGTAATCAGCCTCAGATGTCCGAAGATGTGGCACCCGCCGAGCAGAAACCTTCGTCATGCCAAGTTCACTGTGTACAATATTGCCAACTCTCTCACGAAATATGCTCATAGCATTAGCTATTTGATTGATAGTCAATCGCCTGTCACTTGAACGAAACGATCAATGTTTTTCATGCTGGTTTCAATCGCAGGACATCCAGTCATTGTCATCATCAAGACTCTGCCTACGTCTACTATATTCAGCTACCTACTATTTCACTCTTGATAAAGCTGGTACTCCATTCCTTAATGCAACAAACATGTCATCATGAATATTCTTGGAGGTTAAAACATTTGTTCAGAAGCCAGTTGATATTACCATGAAGTCACACTTTGTAATTTTCAAGAGAAATCGGTACTAATTCCTTTTGAAGTCTTCTTTGAACAGTCAGATATCAGCTTAACTGGAAATTAACAATCAGCGCTCCAGTAAGCACCTGACACCGCCAGCTTTCATCTATATTTACAAGAGCCAGATCAGAACAAGCATGTTGTCATATCTGAGCAGGACCTGCCAAGGCATCACTCTCCAGACTTAGGTAAACCTACATGGCAAGAACACGCCATAGCACTTACATATTATCAAATCACCCACGTTCCCTCCATATTCCACCGGTGAGAGTTCCACTAGAAGCCGTTTCTTCACGCGAATGACTGCCTTTTGAAATCGACTCGCAACAGGATGTTTCCCAGATCACTAAAATCTCCATCACCTATACACATACAACACCTCCTAACGTAACACTCTAACACGAAAGGCCCATGAGCCTTGTATAAGGGTGATTCCCAATTTTTAAAAAATGAAGTGTTGAAATTAATGCATGCAACACTTGTAAGTGACAATTATCAGCGGCCATAATTTTGATTATCACCGTTGACACGGGTCAGAAAATACCAAAATACATGTTTATACATATCTCTGTGTGTGTGTGTGTGTGTGTGTGTGTGTGTGTGTGTGTGTGTGTGTGTGTGTGTGTGTGTGTGTGTCTACCGTTTCTGGCATCATTAGAAAATACCTACCTCTACAAATGACTGAAAATATCGCTGATACAAACGTTTGGGGATAGACAGAAAAAATAATGATCAATGCGATGTGGTGAGTAAACTTCTGTATTTTCGTTTTTTTCGTATATTGCAAGGATTTTGATGTATTATAAAAATGAAATAAGTTTTTGATATATTAAATTTTAGTTTTCTTTGACACAACGAAAAATGTAAGAAAGAAATGAAAATAAATATTCTAGACTTTTGGTTGTCTTACCTGATGATGTTCTGCGTCAAATCAGAGGAATTGAAGTCACTTTGTCGTATTCTCAGGTCTATAATAAAATTCTGCAATGTGATTGGCCAATCTTTCACCAATCAGATCGAGGGAGTGAATCTTTAATCTAAACTTTTAATCTCTTCCAGGTAGAGATTAACAGATGTTTTTTTTTTTTCTCTTGATTTTTAAAATTTCATTTTCTGCAATGATACTTTAAAGTTGCGTTCAAAATGATTATCTATCAAGTGCATGTGAAAGTTTCCAAAGACAAAAACAACCCCGGTCTTGAAATGTGTATTCAGTCTGTAGTTTGCAAAGAAACGTATTGAAAATTTGAATAGTATATATATATATATATATATATATATATATATATATATATATATATATATATTTATTTCATCAAAATATTATTGTCTTTTTGACAGTTTTTCACAAAATACAAAGTTCAAGCAACACTCAATGTATCGTGTTATTCAATGAGGTTGTTGAACTTCTTGGTACGGAAACATCATGGCTGAGCAGGGTCGCACACCCAAAGACAAACTCGCTCGATTCTGAAGACTAAAGAACCCGGAAGGAGTAGAGAAGAGACGACGGCGATTTTTTGCCATTATTGTATTCCCACTTTCTCTTTCTATCCATGTCTTTCTATTTCAGCCTCTCGATCTATCTATCGATCTATCTAGATATTCATTGTTAGATAGATAGAGAGTCTATCTATCTTTCTAATTTTTACGAATAAATTCTTGGTTGCAGGCTATCTTCACCTTTACTGAAAAGATTCCAGCATTCACATGCATAGACATGTTGTTTACATCCGGGATAATCTTCCCATGGCCAGGGAATTGTCTCTCGAGGCCCCTGACTACTCTTTCATTTGCTTCCGTCTTTCGCTGTTAAACTCTGTCAGGACGGCAGTATATTAGACGCAATAGCTGACAGTATCGAAAAGGCACATTCTACCCATCCATTAAACAAAGACCTCTTATCAATAAGACCACTTTTCGTTTCCAGCTTGCTGATTGCGACTCATTCCGTTATTTTCACCTCATAATTGAAAATTGTGCCGCTAAGATTTCTTCTTGAGTCAAAGCCGGCATGTACGCTTTCATCCCTTCTCGGAAATACCAGGAGAAACCTCAATATCCTTTATGGTTCATACCAGTATTCTCACCTGCCATAGCACACAGACACCACTATTTTCGGCGATACCAGCATGACAGCTCTCGTCATAAGAGGTGCCTATTCGTTACTGCTCATAATAAATACAATCGATTCCTCGAAAGAGCTAAGTTCTTGTTTGCCGAGAGTATGGGGCACCGCATAGCTTCTAACTACTTTGGCTCTCGTGTTTAATGCCGTAATAGGGTAATATGCGTAATGTCAATATTAACCACTCTTCAATCAACTTAAGGTGCTATAATCCACTGCTGAAAAAGCTGAACGCGTTGCCAGTAAATTCTCCTCAAATTCTACTCTTGACTCCTATGGAGTATCCCTTCCTACCTTATAACTTAGAAGTGAATCTCTTTTGAGTGATATGCATATAACCCCTCTACGTGGTTTCTGCTATCATCCCTAACCTTGATCCCTGCAAATATGTGGACCCGATACTATCCCTGTTATAGTCATTAAAAAAAATGTGCCCCCCCCCCGAACTGGTTCTTGTACTCTCTAAATTTTATAATAAATGCCTCGCCGAAGTTATCGTCTGTTGTTCCAGTTTTTAAGAACTCTGGTCCGACCCATACATCTATTGGCCTATTAACATTCTACCAATTTTGGGGGAAACTCCTAGAGCGCCTAATCAATGCTGAATTGGTTCATCATCACTCATCGCAAGGTCTATTCTCAGACAAGCAATACGGCTTTCGTTTCTCCAAGGCAACTGCTGATGTACTGATAATAATTGCTGAAAGAGAGTATCATGCTCTAGTTGAAAAGGAGAAAACCCGATCTGTAGCATTGGACATCTCGAAAGCCTTTGACATGGTAAGACGTTCAGGTCTACTCCACAAGCTGAAAACTGACTGTTTCTCCGAACACATTTTTGAGTTGATACAGTTGATTTTCTATCAAATCGTGAAATGAAAGTTATCCTGAACGGCGACTCGTCTGGATCATTTCGGACTAACGCGGGTGTCTCCCCAACACCATGGCTCTATCCTTGGTCCTGCGCAGTTTTTAAATTTCATCATCGATATTCCCGGTGACATCAGCTCTCAACTTGTTATTTACGTTGACGACACTACCATTTAGTCCTGCCTCGATAGTAATGTTGCTCAGTCCGACAAGTTCAAAATGGTAGCTGATGTACAAAACTTCCTCAAAGCCGTCGTTAACTGAGGCAAGTGATAGTTTTAACGCTTCCAAAACTAAACGTCTCTCCATTAATCGTCCGTGAGACCCCTCACTGCCTTTCATCAGCATGGCTGATGCTAACCTCAACGAAAGCGACTTGTTGCGCCTTCTCACGCTAACGTTCTCAGCTGACATGAAGTGGAAACCATTGTTAGGACAGCTGAGAAGAAAGTCGGTCCACTGTGTCGTGCGAAACAATTTTTCTCTCCAAAATCTGTCTTCAATATCTATAAGTCTACTATTCGTCCATGCTTATAATATTGCCGCTATATATGGTCCGATGCCCAGCTATTTATCTGGATGCCCTTGATAAGATCCAAAGAAGAATCAGTAATATTATTACTCCTAATCTGGTGGATGGCGTTAAGGCACTTGCTCAAAACCGAAATGTGTCTCTATGTGCATATTTTTATAAATACTTTTATGTTAATTGTTCTGTTGAGCTCTTCGCTATGGTACT